TACCCTACATGTTGGAGGCTGAAACCCTCCAGTGGCTGCTCAAAGAAAATTCACAAGTCTCCTTTGATAAAAATTCACAGCCTTGGGAAGTCAATGGAGACTAAGTATAGGAATCAACCTAATGCAGGATTTTATTTTTTTTTTCTTTTTTAAAAAAGGTGAATCACATCACAAAAATTGTTACGTGTCTTCCTGTCAGATCTGACTCAGAGATGAGCTTCCAGAAGGTTTTCAGAGATTCTCCATCTTCTCCCTTGAAGCAGCTGGTGGATTCAAACTACTCACCTGTGTATTGTCAGCACAGCTCCTTGTTTTCTTTACCTGAGTGGATGTGGTGTTTGGGGATTTTATTTGTCTGAATCAGCCAGGTGTTGCCATTGAAGTTCATGGGCACTCATAGTTGATCGTCCAGAGGGCATTTAGAAGCTCTGAACAGCACCAGATATTCCTTCTCCCTTGGAGCTGAAGGTGGATTCGAACAGCCTGAGACACATAGCTTTTTGATTATCAGCCCAATTGTCAGAGGGCGGTGCTTCTAGGGATCCCTGGGAGAAGAGTGGGGTAGGGAGGGAAAGTAGGAGAAAGAGGAGGGGAAAGAGAAATAAGAGAGAAAGGAGGAAATCAGGGTTGATGAACTTCCTGGGTAAGAGGTAGGGGACATTTGCTTATAAAAGGAGAACAGTAGAAAGCCTGCAGGTAAAAAGAAGTAAAAGCACTTTGCCATTGCTGGCATTCTCATCTCCTGTGTGTTCTTGGAAATGGCATCTGCAAGTAACTATACCGACGAAAACGTAAGTTTATGTCACTCGGCATGACTTTCCTCGTGGGTTCTCTTTTCAAAATCTTTGAGGGGCTGGGATTACATTCCTCACTTTCAGGGGATCTGACTTTACTCCTACTCTCTGGTGGAGAGAAGCTTCTGTCTCAGCGCTGCACTGGTCTAAACAAATTGTTTGCTGCTTTTGCCTGTCTCATGTTGTGCCTTTGCGTACCTTTGAGAAGGAGTGAAAGAAATAAAGTGCCTTGGTAACAATTCAGAGGAAGAGATTTCGTTATAGCAAAGACAAGGAGTATACAAGGTAGGCAAGAGGAAAGTGGGGAAATGCGGAAGATCTTGGGTGAAAAGGTGGGAGATGAAGTCCAGGTGATCCACTGATTTCTCCAAGGACAAGAATATCATTCTCAGTGACTTTGCTGTGGAATGGACTTTCACCTCGGGTTGGCTTATGGTAGTCTGGAAGAGAAACCTGTAATAAAGTGTTCCTACACTAGCCTAGAGAATTGATTTGACTAATATTAGGGGCAGGATTGTAGACAAGTCCCCTACCTGCTTTGTACCTCATTTATTGCTGAAGCCATTATTAACCAATTTGGTAAAAGGCTGTTTTTTTCCCCCTTAGCTCACAAACTAAATGTATGTGGAAGTGCTTTGAAACACTGGTTTACAGAGGGGAAACTGCTATATCCAAGTTGAGAGTTTGAGAGCAATGAGGAGCTGCTGAGGAGATTTAAATGGGCTGGGGGAAGGGTAAAACAGCATGAGATCAATTTAGCTATTCTTCCCTGAGAGTATTGCAGTGGAGGGGAATGCTGGAGTCAAGTTTACTCATCTTGATGTTTGAGAAAGACAAGTTGTAAAATACATGTTACTCACTGGTATTGACCATTTAAGTTCTGAGATGTATCTCCCTCATTTGTGGAATAGAAAAGTCCTACATTTCTAGGAGCTTTGGGGCATTGTTTGTAAGGGGTTAATCCCTCTCTGCCTGTTCAAACCACCACTTTCTGAGGAAATAAAGTTTTCAGAGACCAAATATCGTAGGAGAGGAGACAGCTGGTTGTTCTTCTTTGAAGCTGTTGGTGGATTGGAATCCCCTGCACTTGATTTGGCAGCACAAATCCACTAGGGCAGCAGAGAGACTCTGTCCTCCTGTGCTAGGCTTTGTTAATCTCTGTGACTGGAGTATAGGAAAAATTATCTTTTCTCTCATTTTAGGGCTAAACTAAGACAATAGCAGAGCTGTAGAGATAGCCAAGGACCAGGATGCTCAGGAATTTGCAAACTGGATGAGGAAACTTTGTGTTTTAACTGAGTGCAGACCACTGAAAAATCATTGAAGAATTTTAAAGAATGGGGAGGGAAAAAGAAAAGAGGCAAGATGAATTGAGGATCACTAACACTCTCTGAAGTCCATTTATAAACTCAAGTGGACTTCTGAGGCTATAAATAACAATGGAACGAGACAGCTTAACATTATCTGACAATCGGCTAGTGGTTTTAAAGAGATTGCCCATATTTCTCCCATGGTGGATTGGAAGCCTTAGGTTTTCTTGGGTCTCGTGATGTCTGGATGAGCTGGAGGCTAGCCTTCTTTTCTTTAATTTTACTTTTTTTTTTTTTTTGGTTTGCATACAAAGTTCATTTACATTGTGTTTCATACAGTCACTCCCCCATTCATTGTGTTTTATAAAATTAATCAACACTGAACCATGTTCACCACTACTCCACTTTTCCAGATTCTCTGCTAAATCTGTCTCATTTCCTTTACCCTCCCCCTCCACCCACCAAATTATGCAACCCTGTAATTTCCCCCTGGCCATCCTCATCCCTCTGCTTTCACCCCTTGTCCCCTTGAATTCCCCTACACGTTTTACTAGTTCTTCTGTTTTTACAATAATGGTCTTATGAAATATTTGTCCAAGTTAGTTCACTCAGTGTAGTGCTCTCCAGTCTCTCTCAACTTATGTAGTAATTTTCAAAATTGTTGCTCCTGGGTGCTGCATAGTATTCTATCATGCGAATGTGCCACAATTTCTGAATTCACTTAATTTTGATTGGACAATTGGGCCATTTCCATGTTCTTGCAGTTGTGGAAAATGCTGCTATGAACATCGGTGTACAAATCTCTATTTGTGCGTCTCTTATAATTTCCTTGCAGTTTTAAATTTCTAGCAGCGGAATAGCTGGGTCATACGGAATTTCTATGGAGCTCTGATGGCCTAGAGTAAGAAACTGCTGTAATCCTAAAATCTTGCCTTGTTAATCTAGACCGGCACGAAAGCATTATGATTATCACAAGAGTTCGGAATGAGGGTTGCAGAGTGGAGTATACTCGGGATGGGGGTGGGGGGATTGTATGCCAATGAAGGAGTTTTTCTTTTGCTTTTCAAGAAGAGTGAACTGGGGGTGGGGGGGGGGTGGGCGCAGAGAAAAGTGCAAAAAAGAAGAAAAAAATAAAAACGAGAAAACAAAAAAAAAGGCAGTACCTTAATAAAGCAAGTCTTTTAATAGGGGAAAGGAAACTACAAAATAACAATGTCTTTGTGATCCAGAGGAAACCTAGCAGTTCTTCAGTTAAAGTTTTGCATCCTGAGTAGAGGGAGGGATAGGTAAAGGAAAGGGGTAAGATCAGGTGTTAAAAACAATGTATATAAACTTTATAAACTTTGTAAGTAAACAAGTATAAAATAAAAAAAAAAGTCTGAAAAAATTTTCCACTCTGTTCATTGAATAGGTCATCTCTCATATAGGTCATATATTAATGAAAGGGGGAGGCACTACAAAACAGTTACAAGAATTTCAACTGCATAAGACTTTCTCAAAATTATCCCTGTGGACTGAAAGGATTAGGCCTTCACTCTTGTTATTGTATACTAAGAGAACACAGCTCCCTTTCAAAATACTGCTTAAATATACGTTAGTTTTTTCTTGCTGTCTTGTCTGTTCTAGAGTTACACTGTTAATCCAAAGGCAGAGTCCTTGGCAATTTGAATCCACCAGTAGCTGTAAAAAAGAAGGGTAAACGCTTCCCTTTCAGTTTGTTGTTGGGGACCATTGGGCTAGTAGACTGTGACTCACAGGGACACTATGATAACAGATCTGAACCTTGCCCTATCCTGCACCAGTCTCCTGATCCGTCCTGCTTAATTACATTGTGGCAGTCACTGAGTCAGCCCATCTCAGCAAGGGGTTTTCTCTCTTACATTGACCTTCTGTTTTTCTCAACAACATGTCTTTCTCCACAGACTGGTTCCTCCTGGCAATGAGAGTAAAGTAACTGAGGCAAAGTCTCACCATCCTGGCCTCCAAAGAGCTCTCTGATGGCATTTCCTTCAAGACAGATTTGTTTGTTCTTTTGACAGTCCCTGTTATTCAATATTCCTCTCCACCATCACAATTCAAAGGCATCAGTTGTTCGTTTTCTTTATTCATTGTGTAACTTTCAGATGCATAGGAAGCAATTGAAAATGGGTGAGATTTACAGCCTCTGAAAACCCACTGAAGGGTCAACTAAGAGTTAATTCTGATTTGACAATAATAGTTTTTTATTCATTATTCAAAGTAGAGGATCAGTAAAAGAGGAAGGCTCTCAACAAGACGGATGCATACTGACGACAAAAATGGGCTTGAGGATGGTAGAAATCATGATGGTGCAGGGCTGAGTAAAGTTCTGGTCTGTTGTTCAGAGTATCACTAGGAGGAGTGGTCAACTTGATGACATCCCACAACAGTATTACTGGTAAAGGAGGCCTTGTGATGTGATGTGGGGCATAAGGTTCTAGGCTTTTAACCAAAAGATATCTTCAGTGGTTTGAATCCACCAGTTTCTCAGCAGGAGAAAGGTAGGCAGTTTGTGCCTATAAAGATTTACAATCTTGGAATAATGGAGGGCACTGTGAGACAGCATCAACAAGTCAGGGCAGGGGTTTTGGGTTTATTTCTTGGTTGGGAGCCATTGTAATGAGGTGCTGCTAATAAGAGGGTCACTGGTTTAAATCCACCCACTGCTCAGAGGGGAAGAAAGATGAGTGTGCTCCCCTTAACATTTATATCCTTGGAAATCTGATGAAGGTCACAATGAGTATGAATCAACTTGAAGTCAATTGGTTTGGTTTTGATGTTAGATTCAGTAGTGTTTTATGCAAATGCAATTTAGCTGTGTGGCATCCAAAGAGAATGAGTGACTGAGGACGTCTTCTCTTTTCAGAATTTATTTAACATGCACTTAGTTGAAGAAAGTCCAACTATTACATTATCTCTAGCAACAGAGGAATATACAGAAACAGTTCAGACAGCACCAAGTGTTCCTCCAATGGCCGATGTCAAAGTGAAGAAGCCCAGGAATCGCAGTAAAGGTATGAAGGCAGGGATTGCTCAGTGCTGCACCCATACACCCTTCACTCTAGAGCACTCAGCTGAAGTCTTACCTTCTCCGTGGACCCTAATTATATTAAGTCCAGAAGAGAATTTCCAAACATGCATACTTCTCCATGCTGCTGCCTTGTTTTTAAGACCTAAGAGGTGCATGGAATTTTCTGGATAGAACATCAGGCAGCAAGATGAATTAAACTTTTTTTATACAGAGAAATAATTTTGAGAAACATCTAGAATTTACTTCATAATTAATTACCAATTAAGTATATAGCCATTCTTAATAGACCTTTTCTATATATTCTGTGTTTAGTTTAAGTCCATAGCGTAATAATCTCAAGGGGAGTTTATTATCTGGGACAATAATGAAAAATCCAAGATAATGTAAATGGAGAAAGATCAGAGCTGAACAAGGTGAAATGGGTACAACAGAGAAAAATGAAGTATATTCAGATCGTTGCTTGTAGGGAGAGTGAGGCCATTCTCTGATTTTTGTAGGATTAAATTTTTCTGTTTCAAAATCTAAACATTGCAGGAATAATCCAATATTATGGTCTGCATATTTGGGAAGTAAGCATCAGAGAAAAGTAAAGGACTAGTGTAAGTAGTGTTTAGAATTTAAGGTCTCAATTTTATGTCTCATTTTAAGGGTTACATGGTCTTAAGCAAGTCGTTTAGTTCCTGTTCCCAAATTTATCTTCCCATTCCTTAAAGATTTATAGCGAGAAACCCAATGAAGTTTCAAAATAAGCCTAATTTATAAAATACAAAATTTAATGTGATATGTATGAACAAATTGGTTTGTGAGAAACTCTAAAATAAGGGTGGGGGGAATTGAGTACACATTGAACTATAAATTTAAAGGGCTCTAATGACCTAGTAATAGTCCCAAAGGCATGTGGTTCGAATCCACCAGATGCTCCACTGAAATAGGATGGGCATTTCCTGTGAAAACCAGCTGGAGGGTCAGCTGTGGGTTGGTTTGTGCTCCATAGCACACAACAACTGTGGTTTCGCTTTTTTCTCAGTTCCTTCTGAAACAAATGAACAAGTCAAACCTCGCCAAACAACATCCAATGGCAAAATGACCCACATTCCTATGCCAGACGTTTTGCCTCCCATTACTGAGGTCCATCGGAACACGTTGCGTTACTGGTGCCAACTAATAAACTTGAGCTCTGGTGGACAGGTGAGTATACCTGCCGAAATCCAGATACGGGCTGAGGCATGGATCGAAAACTTCACTAACTCTTCTATTTTTCCTATAATTTCTTCAGAAATCAGACCTGTATCTGAGGGTCCAGACAAACGCTTATCCTGATCAAAAGGTAAGTGAGGAATGTGAGAATGGCTGTGATCATGGGTCCTTCTTCCACCACCTTCTCCATGTCTCTTGTTCCTGTAGGGCAAGTTTGCTCAGCGATGCCTTTGTGATATATGGGGTGATGTAGTGGCTGGGGAGAAAGTGTTGGTTCTTCTTCCTTTCCTGTCCATTGTGTTGGAGGCTCTGTAGTTGCCCTACCTCTACCTATGACATGCCAGTAGCACTCCCCCTTCCACCTTTATTTTGACAGCCAAAAGTTCTCCCACATATTCACAAATGTGTCTCTCTTGTGGAGAAAAATTACCTGATTTGCAATCAATGTCCTAAGACAAAGGAACCCTGGTAGTACAGCAGCTAATGGGCTTGACTGCCAACCTAGAGATCAGTGATTCAAAATCATGAGGCACTACATGGTAGAAAGCTGGGACATTTTGCTTCTGGAAGGATTTTTACACCCTTGGGAAAACCCATTGGAGCAATTCTACTCAACCCCATGTGATCACTGAATCAGAATTGAGCCAATGGCAATGAACTTGGTTTTTTGGTTGCTCTAAGGGGACTCTTTTCTAAATTTTTCTCCCACTGATATACATGCTTGTGTCAGTATAAAGGTTCAGAAAATTAACACTTCACTGAATAAAGTCAAAACCAAATCCATGGCTGTCCATTCCTTCTGGTTCCAACTCAAAGCAGCTGACCATCAGTACATTTTTATGTGAGGACACTGCCTGTCTTTCTGTCTTGGAACATGTGGCGGAGTCAAACCACTGACTGACCTGTATGTTTGCTAACACCACCGGAACTCTTTTTTAAATTAAAGTTTATTAATTTTAATGAACATTTACAGAGATTTTGTATTTCCATTCATTCACTGTTGCACTAATTTCTCTACCACCCTCCCAGTTTGTTCCTCTTTCCCCCCCCCTCGGAAGTCTGTTTTAATTTCCCATTGCCACAATGCTTGTCAAAACCACTTGTGATTAATCTCCTTTGTCAGTGTGTCCTTTGCCATTACCTATCACTCCTCCCTGAGAGAGACTTCACCCTGATTCATAAGGAAAAGGGGAAGGAGTATTCTCTTAGTTACTTCCTGCTGAAAAGGGACGCTGTAGGTTTCAGGGTGAAGATCTTCTCTCACTACTCTAAAGGGCCCCTTTGGCAGTAGGAAAGACATAGATTATTATGGAGATTGATTCTGGAATTTAGATGCACTGTTATCAACTGTGCTTAGCCATACATGTTCATATCTTTGAAGATGTGTCATGGAACTGTTGCAGCCTAGAAGACACAAATTTAACAAGTTAAAACTACATGAGTCAAAAATTAAAAACAATAATATTCCAAGTAGAGGTTCTAACAGTGGCACAAATCAAGTTACAGAGGGAAGGTAGTTCTTAAAATAAAAGGCTTACTGACTAGCACTTTATCTATTATAGTATAAAGGTTAAGGAACCACAAGATGTAGAGGCTCAACTATGTCATTTATTATTCTTAAGTCCTGGAGCAAATTCCATCTACCACTGGGTTGTTTTCCAGGTTGGATGAAACTCTTTTTAATGAGTACTCATTGTGACTTTCATTGGCAGTATCTTCCTGTCACTCCAAGGGAGGCTAAGATGAAGAAAAGCAGTACTAAGGGACCAAGACTTCAGGAAAGTTCTAATACAATGGAGACACAGGAAAGGACCTATGTAGCTGAAGTGGTCACGTCAGCTGAGGAGGCCATAATGGCAACTTGGACAAGAATTTCTTCAAGAGCAGCTCAGCCTAAGGCTGTCAATTCATGTCGCATTCCTCCTGCAGCTGAGACCTTTTTGCCGAAAGTCATTGGTAAGAACAACTTTAATGAGTGAATACTCTTCTAGAAAGGGAAACTAGGTTGAATTCCCAGGGGTTAATTGAGCTCAACGGATTTATATATTGCAGATGGGGTTCACACAAGACTAGTGTTTTCCTTGATTGATAGATACCCTCCTTATTCCTGGTTATATAGTTGTTGTTTTGAATTATTTACTGCTCTCCCAGTCCAACAGATACGACTGATAGGCATGAGGATGTTCACTCAAAATAGGGTGATTTACAGGCAGGAGGACACAAGCTGAAGGCTAGTGGAGGTCAGGGTGGCCAAGCAGTTGTGAGCTCTGACTGGACAGATGTATTCTATTGTGTTAATTGGCAGAACCATACAAGGGGCACAGCTAAAAATCTGTTCTCATTTTTCTTTAGATGCAATTCATTTTAAAAGGAGCTAGATTAATATATGAAAAAAACCCACTGCCATCTAGTCAGTCCTGACTCCCAGCATTGGTTAGATTTTTTAAATCATATGATTGAGTGGAGACTCATTTTTTAGCAGAATTCTCTGGTTGAGAGAAAATAGAATCTTATTTTAGGATCACCCAAAACCTGAAGACTCACTGTCTACTGCCATCTTACAGATTTTTGACTCATAAACACTCTACCAGACAAAGTAGAAATGACCCCAAAGGATCTCCACGTTGTAAATCTTTACATAAGCAGACTGTCTCATCTTTCTTCCACTGAGTGGCTGGTAGGTTTAAACCACAAACCTGTTGATTAAGCAGTCCAATTACAAGCAAACACTAGCCTCAATTATAAACACTAACATAAATTTTATCTTCTGTGGATCCATAATCCACATCATTGGTGCAAGCAGTCAAGGAATCAAAAGATGTGTTGCATTGGGAAAATCTGCAGTCAAGGATCTCTCCAAGGTGCTGAAGAACAGTGATAGCAGTTTAAACCAAGCCACAGTCTTTTCAATTATGCAACTGAACATTGGACAGTGACTAAGGATGAAGAAAAATTGAAGTCGTTAAGTTGTGGATTTGGAAGAGTGCATTGAATAGTCTATGGACTGCAAAAAAAGAAAAACATCCTTGTAGGCAAGGATGGTGAATGTTTGTCTCACATACCTTGGACATATTCCTAAAAGGAACCAGTTTTTAGGAAAGGACATCATGTTTAGAAAGGTAGAGGGTAAGCATAAGACAGGAAGACCCTTAATTAAGATGGATTGACACAATGGCTTTAACAATGGGCTCAAGTATTCAAGAAATAGTGAGGCTGATATAGGGTAGGGTAGATCTGTTGTTCATAGGGCTGCTATGAGTCAGTAATACTCAGTGATGCATAACAAAAGCAGCAGTAGCACAAAGAAACAGCATTCCTTGGATTCCAAAATGCCTTACTGTACTGCTTCCCAGTTAAAATTCTTCTTCCTCACCGGGAAATACCTGTTTCCTGATTTTAGTGATCATCTTATGTTTTTCTTGAAAATATTTTTTTAAATATTTCTATAAAATAGTTTTATTTTTTAACTTGATGCACATGCAATAGCACTGTATTTTTTTGTGAAGCTTAGTGCTATAGTGGATCCACATTTGGCTGTTAACCAAAAGGTCAGTGGTTCAAATCCCCTAGCCAATTTGTAGGATGCAGTAAGGCAATCTGCCGCTGTAAAGATTAGCAAGCTTGGAAACTTCCACTGAGCAGTTGTGCTATTCTCCGTAGTGCTGACGGCATTTGATACTGTAACATGCTGTGGAGTAGTGTCTGACTCATAGTGACCTTATGAGCCACAAATCTGAACTCTGTCCTCTTCTGTACCATCTTTATCAGGCATAGACACATTTGAGCACATTGCTACATTGTATCAACTTAGCTCTTTGAGGGTCTTCCTCACTTCACCGACCCTCCACTTGTTGAAACATGATGCCCCTTTTAAATTTTATTTTATATTTTTTATTTTATTTCATTTCATTTTATTTTATTATTTTTGTGTGAGTGTACCGTCAAATCAGATCTGACTGGTACAGGAGGAGATTGTCCCTCCTTCCCCGGCAGAGCATCTGGTGGATTCTAACCGTGCACCTCTGGGATTGTAGTTGCAGCTCCTTGCCACTAGGCCACCAGAGCTCCCCTATGATGCCCCTTTCTAATATTAGTTTTATACACGTAGTTTCCTATGTTGTTGTTGTTATGTGCCGTCGAGTCGTTTGCGACTCATAGCGACCCTATGCACAACAGCCCTAAACCCTGCTCTATCCTGTGCCAACCGCACCGCCTTTGACACACCCATCCCGATTACCCCAGTCACCGAATCAATCCATCTCATAGAGGGTCTTCCCCTCCTGCGCTGTCCCTCCACCCTCCCAAGCATGATGTCCCTCTCCAAGGACCCGTCCCTCCTGGCAACATGTCCAAAGTATGTCAGAAGAAGCCCCAGAATCCTTGCCTCCAAGGAGTAGCCTGGTTTAATCCTCCCCAAGATGAATCTGTTTGTTTTCCTGACAGTCCACGGTACATTCAGTACTCTTCTCCAGCACCACAGCTCAAAAGCATCAACTCTCCTTCTGTCCTCCCTAGTCATTGTGTTTATTTCATGATCGTGTTACTATGTGCCATTGACTCAGAGCTAACTCAAAGCTGACACTCCATTGAGTTTTCAGAGATTGTATATTGCATGGGAGGAGATTACTCATCTTTCTCCCAAGGAGCACCAAGTATACTACGTATTTATAGATCTCTCTATAAATTTACTTATTTATGCATCTATAAGCATTCATATTTATGCCTTTACGGGCATTCAAACATAAATTTCTCAGGCTTTTGAACAAAGCCTTTTCTTGCCTATTATTGATAATTAAGGCAATACAGTGTGGAGGTTAGGGAAATGTACTGTGGATTAAAATACCTGAATTAAAAAAAAAAAACAAAACACAAACTGAATTTTATGCCATGACTTTGGGAAACTAAAACCACTAAACTTTGACTTTCCTCATTTATAACTAATAAAATTAAATAGAAAGGTTGTCTTTTTTTCCCTTTCATTTTATTTTATTTTGTGTGTGTACCGTCAAATCAGATCTGACTGGTAAAGGAAGAGATTGCCCCTTCTCCAGAAGGGCATCTGGTGCATTTGAACTGTGTAACTCTGGGATTGCAGTGCAGCTTCTTACCACTAGGCCACAAGAGCTCCCTTAGTGGTTGATCTCTTAAGAATAAAGCATTACATCAAATAGTAGTTTACCTTGGAAGAAGTGAGACCAGGATACTCGGTAGAGAAAAGAGTGAGACTTTCAACTTATGTACTTGTGAGGGCCCAAACTTGCAAAAGGAAAACTTGCTTGGAAATGTGAAGGTTCAGTTACAGAGGAAGATGCTTAACAAGATGATTGACACAGTGATCACAACAATGGGTTTAAGAATAACAGAGATTGGTAGGATGGTGCAGGATTTGATCTGCCCTTCATAGGGTCACCATAAGCAGGAGCTGACTTGATAGCAATTAACAACCACAAGATCTTCGGTACAAACAACCAACCTAAAGAGTTACCATATTCTTCCTCATGAGACTTAATTTAGAACGTTCTAGTGGCTTTTGATCTACATTTTTATGCTTCTGATTCAATTAGTTTTTTGTTTTGTTGTTTTTTTTTTTTGTTTGTTTGTTTGTTTTTTTAGAAAAACTGACTGCATGACAAGCGGGATTGGGATATTAGTCCTTGATTTTACTTCTCTTTCTTTTTCTAGGTGGTAGATGGTGTGTGGTCCATGGCCGAGTTCTCCCCTCAGACGTAGATGGTTGGGTTCGTCTGCAGTTCCACTCAGGTCATGTCTGGGTGCCAGACAGTCCTCGAAAGATGATTTCTCTGTTGATATTACCAGCCTGTGTTTTTCCATCTCCAGAAATAGAAGATAATATGCTGTGTCCTCAATGTGTTCAGAGGTAACTCAAGTATCTTTGTAAGCATAACACACGGAAGAGTAAAAGTCTAAATGGGTATCTGACATACATAAATATTCTGGAATATACTAGGGAAAATTGACTTCATTATTTCTCCTGGTGACATGGTCCACAGGAAGCTACTAACACAAAAGTGGTACCTCTCCCTCCGGTGTCTATAGTCCACCAGTAGTTACATGGGAGAAATATGGACCATCTCCTCGTATGTTTATTGAGAGCCTCTGGAAAACTGTCTGGAGGACCAGCTATAAGAGGGTTCCAAATTGACAACAATGAATTAGAATTAAGTAGCAGACTTTTTAAATAATTAGCCATTCATGCCAGGCAAATAATAGGGAACAGAAAGAACTTCATAGTGGATTAGAAGTTTGTTGTATATGTGTACTTTCCCTGGATGGTACTGACAGTTAATAGGTGGGCTGTTTATCTAAAGAGAAGTTTGAGGTTACTCAGTGGTACCTCAAAAGACAGCTCTGCTGATCTATTTATGAAAAAAGTGTCTCTTGAGAACCTCTACAGGACCCCGATTCTACTCTGACATGCATGAAGTTGGCTTGAGTAGGAACTGACTTGGTTGGAACTGCTATTAACATAGCTACACTTTAGCAGACTTAAGGTATCTTAACAAGTCTGAACCTTCTGTGGGCCTCATTTTTAGCAAGACCTGTTATCTTATTTTCTTAGTTCTCCTGTAACTTACTACAAATGGGTGGCTTTCGAAAACAGAACTAGCACTGGCTTTAGGTGAAGGCATTCTCTGTTAGCTCTGTGGGAGTCTTTGATTCCTCTTTGGTGGCCTGTCTTTCTGTGGAGATTTCTTTGTTGTGCTTATACTTGCTCACTTCTGAGTTTAATCTGCTCTTTTTACACCTCAAAATTATTAGGTTTAATATACTGTACACTGATAAGATTTCATCAGCATAACAACATACCCAGATGAATTATGATGCATTGGCATATGGCTTAGGATATAATTCAATTCCTAAAACCCAGTTTAAGAAAAAAGAGTGGGGGGAACCCAAAACCTAAACAAATAAACAGGAATACATATTAAGAGGTTTTACTGAGTACCATTGAGCTGGAACTGCCCCAGGCAGTAAATTGCACAGGAGACTGCCCATCCTCCTCCTATGGTGCAGCTGACAAATTCGAACTGCATGCCTTTGGGATTACAGCACAGCTTTTTACCAGTAGGCCATCAAAACTCCCAAGGCTGCAAGACTAGTAGGGTAAAAATCTGTAGCAGGCTTGAAGGGAAAAGAGTGAGAGAAGCTATGAATATCTATGGAAAGGACCTATGTTGAAATAGTTTACAGAACATTAAGGTGACTGCTGCAATGGGCTGTAGTGTATCGGAAAAGTGTGAAGATGGCACATGGTATGACGAGGTTCAGATCCACTGTATGAACATAGGGTTGCTGTGAGTTATACTGGACTCGGCAGCACCTAACAGCAACTAACAAAAAACATCTACTGAGGAAAAGTTTAACAGTTGGAAAACAATGCCTGTGGGATGTTTTTAGTGGGAACAGCCTATACAAACATAGAATGAATGAAAGAATATGCTGTACTTAGAAATTGCCTAGGTCAGTATGATGGAAGCTTTTATAAAATTTCTAGGTGGGAGAAGCAAATCCTACAGGATTTAATGTATGGGTTAAAGGTCTTGCATATTAATTATCCTGTAGTTCACTGTCCCTGTCACTTTTGGGGTACAAGTATGTTTGACAATATAATACTCACTTGTAGGGAGCTCATAGCTTTTGTGGTAGGAAGTTGCATCACCAACACAATGGTATTTGGTTCAATTCAACCAGCTGCTCTGCAGGACAAAGATAGATGGTTTTCTCCCATGTGATTTATTGCCTCTGGACACTTACTAGGGGTCACCTATGGGTTGATTCTGACTAACTGGTCCACAAGAACAATGCTGACTATATACCCTCCCGTTAGAACAATATACATGTGGGCATACACATATACGTCGTGTTAGATTTTATACAGACCCAGGGTGGCATAAATGATTAAGTGCTCAACTATTAATTAGTTCAAGGTTGCCAGATCAGATCTATCCAGGGCCATCTGGGAAGACAGGCCTGATGATCTACTTCTAAAAACTTTATGAAGCAGTTCTACTCAGCATGCTTGAAGTTGCCAGGAGTTTGGATCGATTGGCTGGGAACTACCAACATGGAACTTCTAATGTCCATATACGAGTATTAAACTCAGCTGTCATGGGATTAATTGGAGGTAATATGAAAGGACATGGAAGGAAGGCTATTAAAGTTTTTTTAAATTATTTTATTATAGTAGTTTATTTACAAGATTTAAATACATAATTTTCCAGAACAAATTCTTTCAATTTCCCTCATCCCCAACACATCAAATTGTACAACCACATGGTTAAGCTCCCCTCCCCTAATACATCCTCAACCTTCTGCTTCCACCCACCCCACTTTGGTTCGTCATACTCATTCTACAGTATTGGTTTTATACAAATTTGTCCTTGTGGGACTGAGTCAGTTCACTCAGCATATAAAGCTCTCTAGTCCCTCCTAAGTTAGGTAATAATTTATAAGATCATTGCTCTGTAGTGCTCCATGTGCTGCATAGTACTCCATTGTGTGAATGTACCATAATTTCTCAATCCATTCATTTGTGGCTGGACATTTAAGCTGTTTCATGTTCCTATGATGCTAAATAACGCTGCTATGAACATTGGTGTACAAGTCTCTATTTGTGCCTCAGTTCTCATTTTCTCAGGGTATATTACAAGTAGTAGAATAGAGGGGTCGTATGGAATTTTTATGTTCAGCTTTTTAAGGAAGCAACAAACTGCCTTCCAGATGGTTGAACCATTTTAAAATCCCACCAACAATGTATAAGAATTCTTTTCTCACCACATCCTCTCCAAAATTTATTACTTGCTATCCTGTTAAACTTTGCCACTGCTACTGGAGTGATATGGTACCTCCTTGTGGCTTTGATTTGCATCTATTATTGCCAGTGATTTGGAGCATTTCTTCATGTGGCTATTTGCCATTTGAATATCTTCCTCTGTGAAAATTCTTTCCATGTCTTTTGTTCATTTTGTAATTGAGTTATCAGTCTTTTTCTTGTGGAGGCCCAGGAGTAGTCTGTAAATATTTTTATGAGACTCTTGTCTGAGATGGTATTACCAAATGTTTGCTCCTAGTCGGTAGGTTTTCTTTTCACCTGGTTGGGAAAAGGTGGTGATGCACACATGGATTTAATTTTTAGAAGGTCACATTCATCAATTTTATCCTTCTCAGATTGTACATTTCTGGCTCTGTTTGACAGTATCTTTATACCTTGGACTAGTGCTTCTAAGCTTGATCCCAGTTTGTCTCTTATGAACTTTATGGTTTGGAGTTTTATTCCCAAGTCTGATCCACTTGGAGTTGATTTTTGTGTATGGTGTGAGGTGTGGATATATTTAATTCTTCAAGTTATTTTGGAATATAAACAAATCTTCCAGCAGAAAGACTAGAGTGGAGGATTGAGAGATTATAATTCAGATAAAGACTAATATATGATCTGATAAAAATTTTAAACAAGAACAGAATAAACTGAAGTGATATATAGGCATAAAGGGTGCAGAACTCAATTTTAAAAGAGGCAAGAGAGGAGTTCGGCACAGAGGGAAGTATATGTAGTACTTGCAAGATGCTCAAATAGACACTCTAGTGTTCCAGGAGAACCATGGGTCAGAGATGAACAACTCTGGGAGTCATTACCATGTAAACTGATTAAACAAAGGGCTGAGGAAAGAACCATACAGAGAATCAACAACAGTGGGCAATAGAAACAGCAAAAACTAGTACAGTTAGAGTAAAGCACCTGTTAAGAGTAATGGAAAAATCATTGAATCACACATATAAAAAGTGTTGAAATGGCAAATTTCTTTTTAGATATAGTTAACAGTAATAAATAAAAATAACAAAGAATTTTGGAGACAAAGGAAAAGGAAGCAATGGACAGAATTTTAGAAAGAAGGAATGTTTGACAGTGAGATGAGCATGATGGATTACAGTGCTTTTAGGATTAGCAATTTAGGACCGCCCTGGTGTCTACAGTCTCTAGAAGGGAATTACAGTTAAATGAGGAACCAAGCTTAAGCTTAAGATGGTGTTTACCCTGTCTTTGTCCACAGCCCCCCCCCCACTTCTCCTTTTGTCCTTTATTTTATTTAATAGAGAAACTGTAAGAATGGTGAATGGCTTGCACTGGTGATATGGGAAGGAAACAGAGTGTATAAAGTATTAGGATATAGTGCAGGTCCTGCAAATTCATGACTAACCTGCTCCTTCATTTATTAAATATATTCTCTTTATCAACCACCATTATTGTAGTGGGACACATTTCAAAATTGTTTTCTAATTTATCTTGTAGGAATAAGAAGCTACTGAAAAGATTACTAGCATTGGGGAAGACTAAGAAGCCTAATGTGAACACAGCAACATCACTCTCTTTGAAAAGGGTAACGTCTTCGTAAACAACAAATGATGGAGAGTCTCAATTTTAAACAATATGCATTCCGCTGATTGCTTCATCGTTCCATCTGAAGCCTCAGCTATCAATAAGAATGCTTTACATAGACTTGAGATGTGCGTGAAAGTAACTGTTACTGCTTTTCTTAATGAGTTGAGGTAAAAAATATGCTTGTCCATCCATTCCAATTCAAATGTTCCTCTGTGTATTGGGCTCCTATAATATATTTTTTAAGTAGTGTTCTGCTTTGGAAAAATAAACTAGTAAATATTTTCACTATTAAGTATTTAGATTACAATTCATTTTTATATATGTTCACACTATTTTAAAAGTACATAATATCTTTTCATACTTGTAAAATAGTTCTCATTACTAAATTGGAAAAAAGAAAAAGAATTCTTTGTGCAATTACATTTTATGTCTATATTTGTACAAAACAGTTTTTGTAAGAATCACTGAAGTTTATGTAGTTGTAATTTTTAATTGCTTTTGTGTTGTGAAAAACATACCTGAACTTTGACCTATCCTGTGCCATCCTCATCCAATGATACTGAATAACAATGCATAAATAAGAAGGCTTTTTACCAATACAGTAACTTTTGAAATTTTTACAAACTTCTTAGTAGAACAGTTATCTTGCAATGGTTTTGGTTTTTAAGTCTGAGGTCACTGCATTTTTTTTTAAGAATGTCTTAAGAAAAAAAAAATAAAAGTGCACACCTTAAAAAGTGAAAAAAAAGAATGTCTTAAGAAACATACATGTATATCAGCTCTTCAAATTGGCATGGCCCTAAAACCAAATTACTTTTCTTTTTCTCTATGAATATATAATGCTGCCATTTAAAGAATCTTAATTATCTACTAAATAAGAAAAACTCAGACTAGTTACTTAAAATATTGATATAACATGTCATTTAATAGCTATAACAGATGTCAACTAATACAGTATGATATAAATTTACATTCAGTTAGGCAATGTCTTAAAAACTATTAAATTAGTCTCAAAACTATCTTGTATAAATCTTTCAAATAAAGGTTTAGAATGATATATATAAATGCACACCTTAACCTTTGCATTAAAATTTTATAAAAGACATGCAGGTGCCATCAAGTCAGTTTCAATCCATAACAACCCTACACACAACTACTCTAAATGTGAAAGATTCAGTCTCTTCTGATAAAGATACCTGTCCTTGAAAAGCCCCCCTGAGTTGCAATTGACTCCATGGCAGTGAATCTGTTTATTTTCATGATAGTTATAATCATAGCTATCGTATTGTTTTGTTAGGTGCCATAAAATTGACTTTGACTCAGTGTCCCTGTGGACAACAGATTGCACTTCCTACTCAAGCACAATTTCATAGTCCCTTGGTCAATTCATCTTGTTGCGGATTTTCCTCTTTTGCTAACTCTCCACCGTTCCCAACATGTCTCTAAGGAGTGGCATGTGAAAATATGTTCAAAGGAACAGAAGTGAAATGTCATCACTCTTTCTTGCACTTGGATTGCACTTCCTTCAAGACAGACTTGGCAGTCCATAGGATATTCAATGCTCTTCTCCAACAGCACAATTCAGTGGAATTGAGACTTAAGTCAGTGGCATTGACACTTAAGACATCCTTATTCACTGTGCAGCTTTCAGATGAAACACTGCCATGGCCTGAAACACAGGCCATGAAAACACTATGGCCTAGATCAGGTGCATATTAGACATTTTAGCACTTTCCCGAAGTCCTTTATAGGAGATGTAAAAAAACCAAAACCCAACAACGACAAAAAAAACCACATTAGAATTGAGCAGAATGAAGTTATAGGTTTGTGTAATTTTAATCTCCAAGGAGGTTCAGTGGTCTTCAATGACCAATTTATGTATACCAAGGGATCATGATAACATTTTCCTCACTGAACTATGAGAACTAAAACTTGACCATTACTAGTTTTACCTTGTTCTTTTTTTCCCCCCTAGCTTCCTGTTCATGAAGTCAGGATGGCTCTAGAAAACAGAAGAAGGCTGACATTCAGTAGCCAATTTTAAAGCCATGTGACTTTAAGCATTTAATATCTGGCTTTAGTAAGATTATTTGAAGCTTAATTTACATCCAGTAAAAATCTCCGTTTTTAATGTATAGCTCTAAGTTTTAAAAATGTTTACATACATTCCTATCACAACCATGACATTTCAGATACAGACCCAATCAACCCAGAAAATTCTCACTTGCTCTTTTTATCTGTTTCTGCCCCTTCTTTTAACCTTTTCTAGTCTGCAGCCTATAGACGTAGAGGCTGGATTCCTTGATTTATCATAATCTGAATGTTTTTGTGTATGAGTATAGGTTTCACAAATTTAGAGTAAATATCCAAGTAGAAAAACATCTGAATTTTATGTTAATTGCTTGTTTAAGCTGACAAAAGTCAAACTGCTTTTCAAAATTATTGTACTGTCTTGTGTACCCAGCAAGAAATGTTTTCTTATCCTTTTTTTTAAAATACCTATTAAAGTTTTTTGCTCATTTGTATTGGTTGTGTTATTAACTTGTGGATTTATTAATATATTTAAATACATAAAAACATGTGTTTGTGTATACATTTAAATTGTGTCACTCTATTTTGCTTTTCATAGTAGGTTTTACTAGGAAAGGGAATGTTTAAGGTTATACCACAAATAAAATTATTCACATTGATGAAAGGTTTTTTAGGGACTATTTTTCCAGTTGTAAAAATATAACAAATAAATGTTAAAATACAAAGATCAGTCAACCTAAAATATTTTGCTTTTTATGAAATGGTATTTTTAAAATACACACACACACATACATACATACATATAACACTTATTTTAGAGAATATTAAATGATCCAGGAAGTATTAATAGAAAATGGAAAGGGTATACAGAGTCACTGTACTGAAAGCAATTGGCAGACACAGAAGAATTTAATGAAACAACGTATGAGCAAGAGCCTATGGTGATGAAGGAAGCTGCTTTGAAGGAACTGGCAAACAATAAGGCCCCAGCAATTGATGGTATACCAACTGATGTATTTCAAATAACAGATGTCACCCTAGATGTGCTCACCAAGTTGTGCCAAGAAATCTGGAGGATAACCACTTGGCAAACTGACTGGAAGAGATCTCCATTTGATCCAATTACAAAGAAAGGTGATCCAACAGTGTGGAAATTATAAAACGATATCATTGATTTCAAATGCAATATTCTACTGAATATCCAAAACCAACTGGAACAGAACACCAACAAAGAACTTCCAAAAGTCCAGGCTGGATTTACAAGGGGTCATGGTACTAGTAATATTGTAACTAATGTTAGATGGATCTTGGCTGAAAGCAGGGAGAACCAGAGGATTGTTTATCTGTGTTTCACTGGCTATGCAAAGGAGTTTAACTGTGAACCAGAACAAAATGTGGTTGACTCTGACAAGAATGGGAATCCCAGAACACTTGATCATGCTAATGAGAAACCTATACTTGGACCAAGAGGCAGTCAACAGAACAGAGCAAGTAAACACTGCTTGGTTCAAAATTGGGAAGGGTCCTGTCTCCATACCTTTTCAACCTATTTGCAGAACAGATTATTCAGGAGGCTGGGCTGTATGAGATATGTGGTGTCAGGATTGGTGTAAGATCTATCAACAATCTGCGTTATGCAGATGACACAACCCTGCTTCCTAAAATTGAGGAAGACCTGAAGCACTTGCTACAGAAGATCAAGGACTGCAGCCTTCAATATGGATTGAGGCTCAACATCAAGAAGACAAAGATTCACACTACTGGGTCAACTGGCAGCATCAGGATGGTGAAGAGATTGAGATTGTTCACAGCTTTAGTTTGCTTGCCTCCACAGTCAACACTCTTGGCACCAGCAGCCAGGAAATTAAAAGATGTATTGTGATGTGAAAGTCTGCTGTGAGGGACCCCTCCAAAGTAATGACGAACAATAGTTTCATTCTGGAGACTAAGGTGCTCCTGATACAGGCCATGGTCCTTGCAATCACTTGCTATGCATTAGAGAGCTGGACAATGACTAGGGAGGATAGGAGTATTGATGCCTCTTGAGCCGTGGTTTGGAGAAGAATATTGAAAATACCATGGTCTGCTAAGAAAACAAACAGGTTCAGCCTGGACAGGGTTAAACCAGGAATGCTCCTTTGAAGCAAGGATTCTGTAGCTTCCTCTGACATACTTTTGATATGTTGCAAGGTGAGACCAGTCCTTGGAGAAGCACGTCATGCTTGGGAAGGTGAAGGGACAGCGCAGGAGAAGAATACCCTCTATGAGGTGGATTGATGCAGTGACTGGGGTAATTCAGGTAGGTGTGTTGGACACAGTGAGATTGGCACAGGATAGAGCAGGGTTTAGGGCTGTTGTACATAGGTTTGCTATGAGTTGCAGGCAACTCGATGACACATAAGAACAATATAGATATAGAGATATCTATCTCTATATCTCTGTATATATTTTGGATTGGCTTTTTGTTTCCTGCTGGTTTTCCAAATATATTAAAAAAAAACAAAAAACAAAATCAACCCATAGTATTCCAGTAAAACTTCATCCTTTGGACATGTTATCAGGAAGGTTGAGTCATCAGAAGAAGTCCTGATGGGCAAAGTGGGGGATCAGAGGTAAACTCACAGATGGGTTGGCAATGTGACAGGGATCTTCGCATTGCAGTCATAAAAGTGGAGTTGCCCAGTGAGAAGTTCCTATCTAGGAGTCATCTTCATTGTACCTAACAACACAGTAAGATAGTCATCACATCCTAGGTAGAGGACAGCTGATGCTCAATGTCACCATTAAAGGATGTAACTAGGAGTTCTGGTGTCCTAGTGGCAAGAAACTGCACTGCAATTCTGAAGGTACATGGTCAAATCTGCCAGATGTTCCGCTAGAGAAGGTGGGGGGCAATCTCCAACTGAACCAGTCAGATCTGATTGGATGGAACACAACAAATTAAAAGAAAAAAGTATGTAAATAGAAGTGGTGTCTTCATCACAATTCTGTTTCTTACCCAAGAACACAGCTCTAAACAGTATCATACATGCCCAACTGGGCCCTGCAGGCACAGGGAAATTAATGAGTGTAGACTACCTCAGGTAAAAGTAGGTTGTAAACATCAGATTTTACACGAGTGTAACAAATCTATCACAAAATCATGCTGATTGTTTGTATGTGCAATTAAGTGCCTTCAAGTCATAGCAACCCTATATACAATAGCTCTGAATGCCACTCTACCTGAGCCAGTCTGACTGAAACATCTACTTCCTTATCCCAGTTACTGTGTCAATCCATCTAATCTGAGGTCTTCCTCTCTTACACTGTCCCTCTACCCTCGCAAGCATAATGTCCTTTCTTATCCAAAGACTAGCCACGTGTCCGAAGTAAAATGAAGCTTCAAAGTAATTGTTCCAAGGAGAAAATGAGTTTCACTCTTCAAGACAGATCTGTTTGTCCTGCCTGTCCATGGCATGTACAATACTCTTCCCCTGCACCACAACTCAAAGACATCAATTCTTTACTATTATTTTAATGAACATTTACAGAGACTTTGGATCTCCATTCATTCATTGTTGCACTTTTCTTTCTGCCCACCCAATCCCCTCCCCCCAGTTTGCTCTTTTCTTTGAAAAGTAATTAAAAAAACCCTTCATTGTTATACAATCCCTCCCCTCAAGTCCACTCGACTATGCAGCTTTCCTTCCTTCTGGACTCCTGTCATGACAATAATAACTAATTACATATTCCTTTTAACAGTTCTCTCCCTCACCTTTTCAATGCAGTATACATTATTTATTGCCTCTTTCTCAGTCTTCCCTCAACCCCGATGTGAGTCCTGTTTTACAAAAGTGGCACCATGGAGTATTTGTCCTTTTGTGACTGAGATATTTCACTCAGCATAATGTCCTCCAGGCTCACCCATTTTTAATAATATTGCATGAATTCCTTGTTTTCAATGCAGCATAGTATTCCATTGTGTGAATATACCACAGCTTCTCTATCCATTTGTTTGTTGATAGGCACTTAGGTTGTTTCCAGCTCTTTGCTATTGTGAACAAATCCGTTATAAACATGGGTGTGCATATATTAGCTTGGGTGGCAGATATGATTTCTTTGGTATATATTCCCAATAGTGGAATTGCTGATTCAAATGGTATATTTTTTAACTAGTTAAGCAAATTATAATAAATGGTGAATAATATGACATTGAATCAGGGAGAGACCTTTTTTAAAAAAACAAAAGGAGTTTAAGAGTTTCCACAGTTACATGCTTTTTTTTTTTTTTTTTTTAGTTACATGCTTTAAAGTACCATGATTTGGTCAGGAGGAAGGGAAGTCTTCCTAAAATAGCTGGGGAATACCACTGAGAGGACAGGTGGCTCTCCAGGCAGCGGAGAAGGTGCAGAGTCTCTGACACAAGATGTATTGGAGCTCTGGGATAAGAATAGTTCTCGATGTTTCCTGGAAAGGCCTTCCATATCCTCAGGAAGATGAGATTAACTCAGACTATCCCATCTGGACATGCAGACGATGGAAGGCACATCTACAGTAAGAGTTTAGCTCTAGCTGTGAGAACATGGTTGCCGTTTCAAATGATATTTCTGCTTGCAACTTTTTGAGAAAGTGCCATACTGCCTTCCATAGTGGTTGTACCATTTTACACTCCCACCAACAGTGAATAAGGGTTCCAGTTTCTCCACAACCTCAACATGCCAGATAAGGGACTTATATCTAGAATTTATAAAATACTCAAGCACCACAACAAGATAAACAAACCAATTGAAGAAATGGGCACAGGATATGAACAGACACTTTTCACCAAAGAAGACATTCAGATGGCAAACAAACACAAGAAAATGCTCAAAATCCCTAGCTCTAAAAGAGATGCAAATCAAAACAACTATATCATCTCACCCTGATAAAAATAGAAAAATTTAACAGAACAGAATCAATTCTTTTGTCACCCCTAGTCATTGTCCAATTCTCTCAGCAAGGCAAGTAATTATGAAGACCATGACTTGGATCAGG